TTGCTTAAATTATATAGAAATTGAACCAAAATTAGAATCATGACTTATATTTGGAAAATCCTAAATTTATTTTCAAATATTGGAAGAAAAGCATTTTTTAGGGCACTTTATAAAATTTTCAAACATGAAATGCTATAAGTAGCTATTATATTTTAATGAAGATTATCTTGTTCATGACATTTTATATATATTTCCCAAAGTTACTTTAGGTATACTTAGATAAATACTTAACTCAGTGGAAGAAAGGCAATATTTTTTTGTTTCTTAAATCATTTTTGCATACCTGTTCACAAACTGAAATTCAGATATAGTTATTGTTCAAAAATTGATATAGCAGCTCAATTCCACAACTAAATAAATAAATCGCAAGTCCCAATTCTAAGATCCAGGGACACAAAGAAATGTCAAAATCACAAATTGCAATTCCAATGTCAAAAAATACTAATATATGTAAATGGTCAGAATTCCAATGCACAAGCCAACAGTTACACTGGAGTTGACAGACGAAATTGCAAAATGAAAATGATTCTCTCAATTCGAGAACATCAATCACCGTTATCAACTAAACAGTTTTATCATTGGCAAACATTTGGATAGGACAAACAATATTAGCATAACCAAGAAGCATTTATGGCCACAGCTGTAACTGACTTGTTTCTATTTTGGTTATTTTATCTTTGGCATATTGTACAGAACACACGTGCCTTTTTTCTCAGTAAGTGACTTTCTCTTTTGCCACAGTTATGCAACATTCTGACCTAGTTAAACTGGCGGGTAGTAAATTTTGACAAAAGAGAAGCAGAATTAGCATTAGGTATAAGTCCTCAGCACTTTGAAATGTTTTAAATACAGTCACACCTTAGTAAAAAGCATTAAAAGAAAAAAGAAACATAAATGAATATAATTTATACCTGACATTTTCTGCTTATCTTTAATGCCATAAACTCTAAACTACATCAACATAGAATCTTACTTATAGAAACTTATTGAAAAGAAAGCTGATTTGTAATTTATTTGTAGATTTTAAGACATTCAAATTCATGTTAAATACAAGGGATACTGAAAAGTTCTCAGCTTGACTAAAAAAAAAAAAAAATTCCAAAGTAATAAAATCAGATTTTTGGAAGTTTGCCTGGATGAAAACTTTTCAGCACCTCTTTGTATTTTGCTGATTTGATCTAAAAAGAAAATTTAGTAAACAGTCATATTCCTCATCTTTTCATCATTAAAAGACAAAGAAGATATATATTTTAACCAACGATTAACATTGACTCATAAGCAACAAGTTTGAAAATCATTTATCTTTGTTATCAATATAACAGAGATGAATTAGTTTTTATATTATCATTCATTCATTGGCAGAGTCATTCATTCAGTTAGTATATTTTGCACCCCGTAGTCATCACTCGCTCCATCTCAATTGTGGTTCATGGTGACATTTAAGGCAGAACAGTGCTAAAGAGGCCAATAAGACAGCAGCTTGTTTGAATTCAGAGTTTTCCTTCTCCTAGACTGGCGATGGTATATGGAGGTGGTGTGCTGCCCAGACTACATGCCCCTCCCCTCTGTCATACCGACAAAATCCAAAGGAATTCAGGGCATTACATTTAGAGACAACTTGATTGCAGGAGTTGCCAGAAAGTTGTCAACCAACTACCTTCAGGGCTTCACTTTGGGTTTTCTGTCTGGATTTAATTCCATAGCATTTTTCCATATTTTGGATATGACCACAAGAAAGCAGATATTTAAAATCAGGCTTTATGAGGCACCAGTTTTCTGTCATCCTTCATTCTCTGGCTTGGAGGTGGACTTAGTTGTCAGAGATTATTTGAGACACATACCACAGAAGCATTTTATAGACAGTGGGAGCATGTCCCCCTAGCTATGTCAACCTTTGAAATATAATGTCATATATAAATATCTATGTACATAAGTTCAAAAAAATTAATGAATAAAATATTAGGTAAACAAAAACACTAGAAAGTAAAACAAATTACGAAATAATACATAAATAAACAAACACTAATGTCAAAAAGTTTGTCAATTTTAGAAAAAGATGGCAGAAACAAAAAAAATACAAATTTGGATTTAAGCCTAATACTCAGATTATGAAGTCATTATTTAACATACAAATTAAATTGATTTATACTGACTTTTTCGCTGTAGTAACACCTAAGCTATTAATTGATAAAAAAATGAGAGTAGAAAATACAAAGTTGATAAATATAACTTTAGGTAAGAAAAACAAGGTAAAAATAAGAAGAGAAATGATCTTCAGGATAGTTACAAAAGAAAAAAAAATAATACAGAAAAACCTGACATCTGTGGAAAAAGTTGAAAAAATGAAAACAAATAATAGTTAACAATATATAACTTCCAATAAATATAATAATCATAATATATATAATAAATGAAATAAAATAAATAATAATTGCAGATTATATTGAATTATTATATCACTTTTAAAAATTTAAGCAATATTTACATTTTTGGGGTTAAACTTAAAATATGTTAATTTTTTTGGAACTTTGACAAAATGTATCATATTTCCTTGAGTTCAGAACACCATATATTATATAATTATTAAAAATATTAAAACAGAATTAATATTAGATATCCATTAGCAATAATGTTCCTCTTGATTATATGAAAAAGGTCAAGTATTCATTGAAATCTCTGTTTAACACTTGTGTGCAATAAGGCATTTTACTTGAAAGTGTCTTTTATGGCTTTAAATCTAGTTAAGATTTTTGATGGAGTAAAAAATGAATGTCTTGTATTGGTTTATTCATTTCAACTGGGTTAACTAATTCAGTTGGTATAAGAATGAAATTGAGCAATGAAAGTTGATTATATAGGGAACTGTTTTAATTTGGATCATGACAAATTAAAATATATATAATTAGGTTCTGTTTTATAATGAAAGGCAGTGAAGGAAACCCAAAATTAATTAATATTAGGCAGGGGCCTCTTTAAATTACCCATGAGTCCTCTAAGAAGATTTCAACATTTCTCAAAATAAAAAAAATTCAATATTTATTTACTTCATTTAGGAAACATAAAAATGGAAATGGTTTATCTTATTAATAGAGGCTCTCAAAATAATAATCAAAGGAAAATAAGAAAATGATAAAATGATGTAAGACTGTAATGGTATTAGGTCATCAGTTTAAGGAGTCATCAGTTTATAATATCATTGACTCATTTGTCTAGAAGAGGGATATTTCCTTGTATTGGATGAAGATATATATATTTATGTGTGATAGATTGTAGTGGAGATATTATTGTGGTTGCATGAAGTTGTGGAAGGTTGAGAGGATAAAATTTGGCCTTGTAAAAATATTCAACTCATCCACAAAGAAAAAAAAATGGAAAGGAAAAGAAGAAAGCAGATAAAGTATAAATCCAAAATTGCACTTATTTACATTTTTTTGTTGTTGTTGTTGTTTTAGTCTTAGTTTTGTTTCTATTTATGAAGACAGTTTCAACAGGAAACAGACTAAACACAGGCAGATTTCTTAATTAGACTTTTTATTACTTCAACTTGGACTAATACATCTGTTTGCTACTCAGACTGCTATTTAATATGTTCTTTTATTTATACCTGACATGCAGACATAATAATAAACACATGAATATCTGCATATTTAACAGAAAAATGCTTGGCTAAGTTTGTACATTACTTGGAGGATATGAAATTTCTATTAACTTAACTATACATGTTTAAAAACTGAAACTCTACAGATTAATAATTTGGTATATTTGTTGTGTAATTTTTTATCTTTCTCCTTAAATTATAAGTTAATTAAATTTTATTTCAAGTTGGTATCCATTTAGTAGAGCTATTATATCTTGTTAATAATGTCTACCCAGGTTTTTATTGTTATCAGTGTTGGGATTCCAAACATTTAACACCAACAACACATCTTTTAAATGAAACATAAAAAAGGTTATTCACTGAAGGAAAAGGAAAAGCAGAATGTTACTAGATATAACATTTATTCTTTTCAGAAATATACAATAACAATAAAATATTCAATTTTCCTTGCAGTGGAGTTTGTTTTATCAAGTAATTAAGTGTTCGTAGTGTGGTGTAATGTGTGGACAGATTTACTTTATAACAGCCTAATGTTTCTGTCAGTGCATGGACAAGACTGGTTCATCTCTTTCATAGTGAGTATGTGTATGTGTGTACATGTGTGTGTGTGTGTGTGTACACACATGTGTGTAGATCAAACAGGCCTTCAAAATTATGCTTCTATTTTTATATCCATAAAGGGAGTCAAAATCTAATTTCTCATAGAGATGTGAACTTTTTGAATACAAGGTTTTCATTAGTTAGAAAATAATTTCTCACTGGCTCATGAAAATCTTTTTCTTGAATTTGCAGGAATGGTGGAAGGAGTTATTGTTATTTTCTAAATGGTCCAAAAATAACAGGTGATAGGTCTACAACTATGTCCATAAGTATTTTGGCAATATTTGCTCTTGTAATGATTGCTTATTAAACCAACCTTCTGATGGATTTTATTGGTTGAAATATATATAAAATTTAATTCCTATAATAATTTTCAATAAGAGGTTTTTATTTTGTCTAAACTGATTGATTAACAGAATATGTTTGAATAATGTATCCACTATAATTTGAATCTGTTTAATTTTTTCATTTTACCAAATCTTAATTTATACAGATTTTTATTTTTTTTTTATAAACATGTCAAGGCCTTTCTCATTTTTTTTTTTTGAACAAGAGACAATGTGGTGACAGTATTGTTATGTGATATAACACATGGTTTTGTCACTATAGCATTCTGTAGGTAAAAAGAAAAGAGAAAGAGGAGTTCTGCCTTTACATTTATTCAGCATCTTTGGGCATTAGGGAAGTTCACTGGCAGAAAAGGTGTAGTAATCCCCCAACAGTTAAAGATTTAAGTTATTTGATCTTTGAACTAAACTAATTTTTTTTACAGATTTTAAAAATACCTGAGGAGCTTGTTGACATGAGGCAAATAAAGTTTATAAGTCAATCAAAAGGACAATTCCTTGACAGTCAAGAACAGATTGTTTCTGATTGGATATCACATATTGAATCATTTCTGTTTGATGCAGAAGAAAGGTAAGACCAAATAATAATTTTGTACCTCTAGAAAAGTGTGTAAGTTAACTGAAATGTAAGTTTGTCATATCCTGTCAGAACTTCCATTCTTTAACTCAAATGGAAGTGCTCACATCAATATCCAGAGCTCATATTAGAAAAACAGACCATAATTCTGTCCAGCTCTGTACACCCACTTCTGAAATACCATCTCAAAATACCAGGGTCATAAAACCAATCAGAAAAGGCCCACATGGTTTTCACAACAACCATTTCTTTAACAATTCTTGGAAATTCTTTGTATTGCCAATATAAAGAATCAAGACAGAATGTCTCTTTGTCAGTGAGGGAAGTGAATTGTAAGATGGGGAGAGTTGATAGAACCTGGAGTTGATGCTTGTGTCTGGCTGGTTGACCGAGGTCACTGGTGATGGTGACAGCCTGCGATTGCTGACAGTGTTGTTAGCATTGTTATTAAAAGTATACAGGGTGGATCAGAACTCAGTATTTTTGTCATGCCTTTTGGTTTAGAGGCAACACTCATGTTGTATTATCTCTTTTTTTGAAGAGGATTTGTTTTATGAGCTGGATGTGATGCTTGGAGCCCTTGTACAGAGAGTGATTTAAAAAAATTTGGCTGACAGCTTTTGATGTAGAGTGAATCAGAAAAAGTTCTAGTTTGAGGCAGAGTATAGCATCATATATATATATATATATATATATATATATATATATATATATATATATATATATAAGAATTAATATATTTTATTTTTTAATCTAACATATTTTTATTCTTTTAAATGTTAGTTTAGTGGATATGCGTATTTGAGTAAAGACTCAGTATTTTATTTTGTCTACCAGCCTGCACATTGAAGAAAATTTATTGCAGTCTGAAGAACAAAATAAAATAATGTTTAAAATAAATGGAGTGTCTCCACTTGATATAACATTTAAATTAATATAAATATGTCGGATTAAAAAATAAATCCATTAATTCTTTAGAAATTGCTTTGTTTACATTTCAGATATGAAACTGAGCAGATATGGCTTTTGAGAAATTTTGAACAAGTGGGATTTAAAGGCAAATAGGACCTGGCTTGATTGTGAAGCTATTCATAGCCGAGTGGTTAAAGCATGTAGGATTAAATGACAGATTCTTCTGAAAAGAAGGATGCACATTCAAATCCTGTCTGAGGGTGCATTTTCTTTAATAATTTTTCATGAAAGTGCAGGTTGAAGAAATAAAATACTGTTTGAAATAAACGGTGTGTCTACTCAAATACATGTATCTACTAAAAATAATAAATAAAGTTATATATATATATATATATATATATATATATATATATATATATATATATATATATATGTGCACAAGACCATCCTATCATGACTAAAACCCACATCGGCACTGCCCATATTTGAGGAGGGATCATAGCTCAAAACTGAAATGCAGCCATTGTGTGTGTGCGTGTGTACCAATGAATAATAATTATTTTGAATATATCTTTCATGAAATAGATCAGACCATATTCTTAAATCTTGTGAAAGGGGCATAATCTATTTAAATAATAATCTCAAGAGAGCAGGACTCTTTCCTATTTATTTATTACAGTTTTCACATATCATTTCAGATCTATGTAAAAATATTTATGCAACCAGTCAATGAAAATTAATGAACAAAAATGATTTTAGAGAAAGCAATACAAGTAAGCTAAAATGGGTTTCATATTTTCTATAAATATTTGTGTGAATGATATTATTTTTATTTTTTTCAAGATTATTCAGCACTAATTCTGGTCCAATGACAGAAGTTGAAAAATGGAAAAGAAAACAAAAGATTTTGCTCAACATTACACAACAACTGAAAAGTAAACAATGTAAACAGGTGATCTCCTCTCTGGTTGCAGGACGATCGAAGATGTTAAGAAAATGGAAACTTATTGATTCAGGGTAAATACACTTTTTCATGCTTTTGCTTCGGTAATTTTTCCTTTTTTATGTTAAAAACTCATGATTTTCAAATACAAAATTGATCAGATTAAAATTGTTTGCTTCAGTCTGTTCATAAAAAAATGGGTTTCGTTCCTAATTTATTTATAATGGAACAAATGTCTATCTGTTTATCTATTTTTCTATCAAAGTGTCAAATACCATTGAAAATATACTGTAATTAGATATATATAAAATTTAGGTGTAGTTCTGTTTCTGAGAATTTAGATATTGACTTCTGAGCCAAGAAATAAATCTGCAATCATCTCTAAAACTGAGTTAACACTTTTATTTATTCAGTCTGTATTCTAATTACAAGTTTTTTTCTTTCAACAGTGACCTTTTCCTGGCTTCTCTCTCAAAACATTATATTAATAATTACTTTAACAACATAATGCCCTATTATTTTGCAATTAGGTTTTGATGTGGACAAATTGTCAGCAAATTTATGCAATTGTATTAAATGAGAATGACATATATTAAGCACATTCATGATTAACATTCCTCTGGAAAAATTGGCTCAGTTATTTACCAGATAGTTTTAAACTTGGAACTAAATCAAATAGGTTTCTAAAAATGTTAACAAGAATATGAAAAGCATGCTTACTATAAGAACAAAAGTACTTTGTGTAGATTTATTAATTCAGATGAAATTTTACTTATAAAATTTTATCTGAATTCAGTAATATCAGCAGTACTAACATTAATATATAAAAAAGTACAAAATCTTAAAGAGCAACCACTGTTATTATATATGCTAGTAGGTTACTGTCTAAATAAGTAGGTTAATTAAAACAGATATTCACTTACATCGCTACTTTACATACATAGTACCTTGTGAAATAAAAACTATTTGGTTGCTAATAGTGTTGTAAATGATGTGTAATGTAAATTTCAGTTCTGAAAACAATTGTTATAAAACAATGCAGTCAATTGATAATAGCAGTGATTAGCGGGCACATGGTTTGGATATGTTTTAATAAGAATAATGTAACTCTTGTAAAACAAGTAGTCAGTAAGCATTTGTTGTTTTATTGGAAATATTTTGGTATATAGTAAGTCCTTTAAGGCTATTCTACTAGTTACAGAAAAACTGTTTGCTTTTATCCAAGTACACCTGTCTGTTAGAGCAGCTAGTCAATCACTGTTGTAGATGCCTGCTCAGGTACATTTGTGTTTGTTCAACATCCATAGAGTCAACTTGCAGTTTATACTGCAACTATGTTACAGTTTCTGACATGATCAACAGTTTGAATAATGCCAGTATGCCCAAATCCCTCGTCACAATGACTTGTGACTTTTTGCTAACACAACCATTAATGGAACTTTCCCATCTACCCAATTTCACTCAAAAGGCTTGGCTCAACCTGTAGTATTGTTTTCAGGCTTTTTCCAAAGGCACTGCTCTCTGGGATCACCTTCCTAGGCCGATAACATCAAGAATTCAAAATCCACCTTTGTGAGATAGGTTGTGTCTCCAAAATCTCCTACACAAACTGGATGTTGACTGCTTAACGATCCAAAGCAAAATGTATAAATTCATTTTCTGCGTGTAGGCTCCACGCATACATCTCTGTTTTAACCAAAAGAAAATGAACAATATATTATGACTAGTCAGAGTCACTCCTGCGCAAAAAACAAAACCTTAATTTCAAGCTGACTAAAAGCTATATATATGTAAATTTAAACAGACCCTACACAGATCAACATTTTATGTCAACACTGACACACTGAGAGAGAGAGAGAGAGAGAGAGAGATAATGCTCACAATGATGATGAAGCATGTGCGACCACCACCAAGTGTCTATCCACTTCTAATATTACCACTCCCTCTCCCTGTTGCTTAAGCAACAGATACCAGTCATTGTATATATATATATATATATATATATATATATAAATTTACATTTATTTACTCCTACCAATGTTCTCTTTTTGTTTGATGCTTAGATTTACATTGGTTGAGGCAGAGAAGGAATTAACCTCCACTGCAGTAATAACAACAAGGTTCTGCCTTCCAGGTTACCCATTTTCACCTCTGCAACAGATACAAAGCCTGCTTGCATGGTCGGAAAATGATTTTACTTCTTCCTCTTACTAAATAACCAGCATTCGTATTTATGATTGTTATTGCAATATTTTATTAAAGTTAAGCTCAAATATTTAACAATGACACAGGGGAATTTCTACAGATATTTTTTTGTCATAGAACTCACCATGAGCTTATTGAATCATTAATTTAAGAATTAAGGTTCATCAGACAATTAAAACAGGAAAACTGTGAAATATTTACAGTTATTTCTAGTAGAATATAATATAAAACTATCAGGGATGACCAGTTTTTCCAAGGGAAAAAAATAACTTCAAATTTAACAATAATGAAAAAATATACCTGTTTAATATATTAACAGGTAATAAAATTGCAACATTCTGAAAGACAATACCATTTTTGACAATATGTTTGAGCTAGCACTTAGTAGATATCCTGATTAGATTTTCAAATTCTTTGTCCTTCTTGTGATGTTGTAGCAGTTATGCCATCAGTGTACCATCTATACATGTATGTATGAGTGCATGCTGCAGTAAGGTTGCGTGTGATGAAGGTGTTGAAAGCATGGTGTTATATGACAGAGATGCATATGTGCTGCTTCTGTTCTTTTAGAGCCATTTGACAGGAGTCAGATTATGAGTTTTCAAGATGCAAGAGAGTCATTTTGGAGCATTGTTTTGTATGTTGGATATGAATTTTCAGTTGTGATTCAGTGTTGGCAAAAAATGAATATTCCTGAATTCATAGACCAGGCTCTGTATGGCCACATAGTACAAATATTAAAGCATTGTATGTGGCAGACATTCACATCCAAGTAATATGGTCCCTAAAATGTGAATATGAATCATTGAGAATTTTAAATATAAAATATTTTTATTATTAAATTTAGTTGTAAAAACACAAAAAATATAAAATATTTTTATTTTTCATATTTTTACAACTAAATTTTTCCCAGCATGTATGAATGTTATAGTTATTGTGTTAAACTTCCTTGTTTGTTAAGATGAAAAGAAATGTAATTTCATCTCTTGTATATATCAGAAAAAAAGAGGCAGAGGGAGAAATAATCATCTCTATCTCTTTACTGGTTTTGTCCATCTAGAGACTGCTTAAATATTTCATTTTCCCATAAATCAGTGGGTAAATCTACAGGTAAATCTAAGGATTGTTATAATTTTCAGACAGATACTGATGGCAATATAAGATGGGTTGGCGTAAAGAATTTTATTGAGTGGGAAGTTGTAAATGTTGATACTGAAATGCTGAATCTGTTTAATCATGATGCTCTAACGATAGCAAAGGAAAATGAAATTAAAAGTTGGTATGAAAATTCAGTTTATGAAGAGGTAGACAACACCAACAAGAAAATAATAACTGTTCATTGGGTTATAATTAAAAAAAAAAAGAATAAAGTATGGAAAGCCTCTTCTGATAGTATGGCTCATAACCCAAAGTTTCAAAGAACATGTTGAGGATCTCTGTGAGGATTCACCTACATTCTCTAGGGAAGCAGTTAGATTACTTCTTTCTGCTGCATCCTCTAAACAATGAGCTTGTCATGCAATTGATGTAAAACTAGCATATTTCCAAGGTAACAATATAAAATGTGATGTTTTCTTGAAACCAGCTCTAGAATATGATATAGTAAAACATAGAAGTTAAGGAAAACCATAAATGTACTTTGTGATTCAGCTGAGCAGTGGTACTTGCATGTGAGGAATGCATTTCAGCAATTTTTCTCCTGGCATTTGATGGCATGGTGTGTGCACAGGTGAACGATTTTCTTTGGGCAGGTACAAAGAAATTTGAAAGGAAAGTAAATAAAATGTTTCCTATAAATGACTTTGTTTCAAGGAATTTCAAATATCTTAGCCTAAATATTGTTCCTGGCAGTGATGGAGCCATCACTATAGATCACCTCTTTACTCAGATCGACAACTGTCAGCCACCAACACTTATAAAGAATCAAGTGAGTTATCAGAAGCAGAGAAAGCAGAATACTGAGCCTTAGTGGGGAGGACTCAACTGGATTGCAACCAACACTATGTCACCCTACACCCTCCCTGGTCATCCAAGATGTCCAACACCTGCAGTTGATCGAATAGGTGATTGCTTCAATCCAGGTCCTGCCTTATTCCATGTTTGCTTTGATCATAAGGCAGCCAAGATCAAATTGTCATCAGTTATCTTTGTATTGGGCTGGTCCAAGCAGAGAGAAAACACAAAAAAAATAACAACACTCAAATAAAAAAATAAATACTATTTTTATATAAGGTCCTTTATACAACAGTTGGTTAATTGTTGTTAAAATCTAAGAGTTGAATTATTGGCTCAAACTGCTTCTAAGTCAGACATGATACTTTGTTGACTTGGTAAAGTTTGTTCTGCTGATTTGAAGTTTGGCACAAGGCTGATATTGGCGGTTCTTGTTGGCAGATAATCACATGAGGTGTCTTGCGTCCAGTGGCTGGGATGATCTCTCTCGACAATCTCTGCTCTTCTCACTTTAAGACATTCGTATTTATTGATGTTTGCCCAGACTGGCATGGAGGCACAATGTGGCTGGGTATTCAGTATCTTCTCCACCTGTCATCTTTATTGTTTGTGTCCTGAGAATTAAATTATTTCATAAATTTTAATGGGGATTCCCCTCTTCCAAGAGTGATGGTTACAGGCTATAATCCACCCTATAACTCCCACTTTCTCTTATTACCGTCTACCACTAATACAGTGGCATGGGTAGCTCCTCCACCCTCCTTGGTGTTTCATCTGTGCCTGCTACCTTGGCCACTTCCCAACTAATGGTTTTCAACTGTCTGTCGAAGATTAATTCCAAATTTCATTATCTAAGCAGAGATTTTCTCTTCACAACAACCCCACGTTTTCCATTGTCCAAAACTGAAACACAACCCAGTTGGCTTTCCACACCTTTCTGGTTTCATCAAGGTCATTCTCTAACAGAATTCTTATCTCTGAATTATAATTTTAAATCTTATCTGATTCTCTCCTCTTGTCTTCACAGCCTGTATTTTTAGCTATATGTCATCAACCAAGTGTCAATATATTTGTCATATAACCTGTCACAGTTGAATGTTTTCTCTGTTAGCCACCTGGTTCTCAGCCCTTTTTGAGAATTACAATCATCAATCTTTCCCACAGGGTTTTACTGATATGTCATTCAGTCTATTCATTAACACTTCTTATTATTTACCAGTAAGAAATAGTGTCACACGAGACCTGATATAACATTTGCTGTATGCGAGTCAAGTACGGCAAGCAATAATGCTATGGTGATTACTTAAGCTTAACAAAGTCATACATAAAATAATAACTGATAATTTGAGATTATATTTTCCCAGAATACAACTACTTCATTTTGTCATAGGGAATACTTCACGGATACCTCATTTTCCAACATATCTGGGAGTGGTTTCCAGGGAGGATTTGTAATCTTTGTAAAAGATACTGCTGGTGCCAGATGTCCAATATACTGACAGTCAAGAAAGACTTGGAGAGCGGTGAAGTCAACTTTGGCTGCTGAGACCATGGCATCATTTGAGCGTACACAAACTGCAGTGTACATATGGAGCATTTTGTCATAGCTTTCAGGGTGTGACAGCCTAAAAAATAAATTATGTTGACAACAGGAGCTTAGTAGATTTTTTGCAAAATTTTGCCTCTCAAATTTCATGCAAGCACAAATATATACATTTATATAGGCACACACACACACAGTCCATGGAAAAAGAGGAAAACATTTCTTTAATTCAAAAGACTTTCTATTTTAGAAAAGTAATAATAAGACAAAAAAAAACAAAAAACGGCAAACTGGAGATTCGTTGTATGACTATTTATACATTCTTATAATTAAAAAATTGTTTCTTTTCAAGAATAACTGAAGCCATAAATGAATCAAAGGACAAATCCAAATACCTGGATTCAATTAAAAGCTTCTTGATCCAACTTCAAAACAATTGTTCTCCAGAAGATGTTATGAAAACAATTATTCCAGGTTTAATGCGAACCTTGAAAATGCAAGATTCTTTGAGTAGACACTATGGAAGATCAGGCTTTTTGGGACTTCTTTTGAAAAAGGTTGGTTAATTTATTTTTTCTGAAATACTTTAAAATTCAACCATATCAGTTGGCAGTGAATTGTGGCTCTATACTCCCCAAGTAGTCTGCAAGAATAAAACAAATATAAAGTGAAAAAATTTAAAATATATATCCATTAATCTAATTCTTTTTTTTGACTCAGAATATACAGAGTGTCTCAAAAGATATATACACATCTTAAGCTTACTCAAGAAACAATTCAAGCAACTAGAACTAACTATATCTAATTTAGATAATGTGTATGAAAATAGTATTTATTATAAATATACACTTAAGATTTGTCATCGCATATTTTCAAATTGATGTCTGTTATGATCCAGACATTGCTGACAACACAATGCAATAGAATCACACGCAGCAATCAAGATTTCAATAGGTTTTTTGGGCCTTTGTGAAAACTTTCCCTTTCTTTCTCCACAGGACATGGCTGATATCCATGGTCTTTCAGAACAATACTTGTGTAAAGTAACATTAGCTTCAAACTTATCTCTAATTCATGAGATTGTAAGCCATGTAGGGGATCTGAATGAAACTCTTAGATACCAACTTTGAACTTCAACTGCATTTTTGTACTTCCAGTAGGATTTCAGGATGAATTTTCTTTGATTAAAGCTAAGACTCGATGATATTAGTAATACTAACATGTAAATCTGAAAAGAAAGCAAGTGAACTTTAGCTATATATGGTGAAAGTGTGTAAACATTTTATTGAGACAATCTGTACTTTTAAAATGTGCGACAGTCATGTAAAATGGAAGAATTCATCTTTATTTTGTGATGATTTAATTTTTTTTATATATATATATATATATATATATATATATATATATATATATATATATATGCTTTACAATTTCAATCTTTGATATTTGCCAAAACAAATGGCTAAATTAAGAGAGTACTCAATACAATTTTCAAAAAACAAAAATGTACAGCAATTTCATCAGGCAGTCAGTCTAGATGTTTCATTTCAAAAAACTTACTTATAAGCATATCTATACTGGGAACTCTTTCTCCCTCCCACTTACCAGTGCAGATATGCTTATAAGTGAGTTTTTTTTTTAAAATTAAGCATCCAGATTGACTGCCTGATGAAACCATTCTGATAGAAACCATGGTAGCATAAAGGTCAGTGTTTCAAATATTTTATCTTATATATATCTTTCCCATGTACATATGTGCACACTGTCATTTTGTACTTTTCTTCTGCATATATATACAATTCAAAAATTTGAAGCCACCCCCAGAATTAGCATGGGATGAACTTGACACAAGAGTGAAAAAAATATGAAAAAGATCTCTGAGTCATTGAAAAAAGAATGGAATCAATTATCAAACTTTTACTTTGAGAAATTTTTGCAATGAATACCAAAAGTTTGTGCTGCCATAATCAAGGCTAAAGGAGGATATTTTGACAAGAGCAAAATTTAATTGTAAAATTTTTTTTTTCTTTTTGTCATAATAAAATTTCTAATAAAAAAAACATGTCTCACTTCTTTAACCATGTATAATAATTTTCTATTATTTAAAGTACAAAACAACTACTTTTTGGGCCAATTTAAAAAATTACCAGGGATTCACTTAAACTTGGAACTGTTGTGTATCTGCAGACAGAAGTAATAAAATTAAGGGTAGTAAGAAAAAAAATAAATTTTACTTCTGTTAAACTCTAAGCATTAATACTGCTTTTACAATAGCATTATTGTACATAAACACTATAAATATGACTTTTATAATGTTTATATACATCTTCATAATGACAAATTATGATGTATATTTGTTTATAATTCATAAAGTTTTCATGAAATAATCACTGATAAAATTTTATTATATTATTTTATAGACTTTTTATAGAAAAAATTTTTGGGTGTATGTCTGTTGTTAATAGGGGTAATATGTTTCATTGAATTCCCTGCAAAGCTAAGTGATTGGATTTTGTTTTATTCATTTGTAGATTGCTAATCAGCTGGTTTCAGTTGGAAAGAATTATTTACAGTCATACACAACTGAGTCTGAGGGTGAAGATATGCTATGGAAGCACATTTTGAAGAGTGTAACAATTTTGAGCTCTGATGAGAACACCAAAAGAAAACAGGATCCAGAAAGTGTCAAATACAAAGTATGGATGAGGTTGATTTTTTTTAACAATATCATTTTTAGTTCCTTATTTTTTAATTAATATCTAACTGGATCATCTTACAAACTTTCCTATAAAAGAGACACACTCATAAAAATAAGCACATATACATACACACATGTCAGATTTAAACATGTCAATATTTTCACAATAAAATTGATATTGATGTTGGTAAAATTTTCAGGATTTAATTATCTTTATATGAGCAATATATTGAGTTTCAGTTTATAATATTTATCCCTATTAAAAAAAATGGCTATCAAGCATAGTTGGGATCATCGAGTCAATATGAATGATCCTTTCCTTAGCTGCATAGTATGGGCTTTGCCAGGGCTATATACAGTTTTGAATTCAGTGTTTTCCTTCTGCTAGACAAGTTGCCAATAGAATCCAGTCTATCCTAGCTCCAGAGCTGGAAGAAGAGTTGGATTCGTACCTTTCCCAAGGGTATTAGTATATCAGTGAATGTAATGAACTGAATAGGCATTGAAACTTGGATCTCTGATTCATCAATCCAAGCCACAATCCATTACTCTAGCATGCCTATTAAAAATATTGATAATAACTGTTTTGGGAATATCCAATTTTATTATGCAAACAAACTAATTGTAAAATAAATTTTATTAATAAATTCAAAAAGTATAGGTCATAAAAACAGATATTTGATTAACACATCTCATATACCTGAATAAATTATTATTATTATTAATATTATTATTATTATTATCATTATTATTATTATGTTAATATAGGTTCCTTGATATCCTATAACTTTCATCATTCTTTCTATTATAGATTTTATTAACGTTTCTATTCTTTCAACTTGTAGTACTTTTTATTACTTCCTAGAGAGCTTTTAGCTTGAATATTGTTTTCTATTCATATATATATCTTTTAATAATGGACCACAACTTTTCTATTAAATTGATATCTGGAAAGATTAGGGTTTATTCAGTTAATTGGCACCCTTTTTTACCATGTTAGCAATAGTATAGGAATTAAATCCTATATATATTTTTCAACCAATAAAATCCCATCAAAAGGTCTGTTTGATAAACAATCATTACTAGGGCAAATACCATCAAAATACTTTCGAACATAGTTGTAGACATACCAGCTATCATTTTTGGACCATTTAGAAATAATAATAACTCCCTTCACCACTCTCGCAAATTTGAGAACAAGATTTTCATGAGCCAGTAAGAAATTATTTTCTAACTAATGAAAATCTTGTACTCTAAAAGTTCACACCTCTATGTGAAATTAGATTTTGGATCTCCCTTATGGATATAAAAATAGAAGCATACTGCTTCTTGAAGATTAAAAAAAATCTTGGATGACTGTGTACACACACACCCACACAATGGAAATCTTTTTTTTGTGACATTCTTGAAGCTAGTTTATTTCTTGTTCTTACTAATGTTTTCAATTTCTTTTTTGATCATTCTTCAATTTTTGTTTGACTTTTTTGCAATTTCCAATGTTATGATTCTGTCACTTAATAACTTTACAATATCTTGTTGGTCTTTTGAGGTTATATATATCTTATGACCGATAAGTAATTGATATATATCTCAAATTTAATGATAAGCATCAATAACTATACTTTTATGTCTATTTATTTGCAATATAATGAATAATTCTTAAATTGCATAATATAATCTTACACCTACAAATAAAACTAGATATGAAGTGAAATTCACACAATATATTTATTATATAAATATATACTTTGCTTGATAATTGTTGGTTAATAACAATTCTATTAAAAAAATATTGACTTTGTCATATCAAAACATCATGATCTGTTATGATTAACAAAGTATTTAATATGTTCACAATGCTCCTCTTCATGTTCAATACAACAATGAACCCTATCAGCAACAATTCCCAAAAATTATTTGACACATTCCTACATTAATTTCAGAAAATTTATCAGAAATTTCTTGTTTTAATTTAGCAATTGTTTTCAGTTTAAGCCTGTAAACAAGATCTTTCAGTAGATCCCACAAGAAAAGGTCTGGTGGTGTTAGGTTAGCTGATCATGATGGTCACTCGATTGCTCCATGTCCTATCCACCTCAGCTCAAATAAAAAGAATGGGTGTTACTTTTGTCACACCCTGTATAATCTGACTTAATGTATAAACACACACATACACACACACATAGCCACAATAAGATTTGCTTTTTTTGAGCTTCACTTTAATTATTGTTATTTTTTTTCCTTTCTCATAATCATGTACCAAACCTAAAATTGAAATATTCAATTATGAAATTTACTTATTTATTGATGCAACAGCAATTTGTAATGGTCAGGGATACAAGTAAAAAGTTTATGATTTATTAACACAACCTGCCACAGATTTGTTGACCAGATTTGAAAAACCTTATCGATAATGAAATAAAGGTTTTAAACAATAAATTATTTTTTAATTCAATAGGTGAATATTGTTATATAAATTCTTTTTGTGTGTGCATGTGTCATTTTTAGTCTCCTTGAAACTTAAAACAAGTAGCAAGCAACAAAATCTTTCTTTCTTTCACTGAAAGGAAGTAGCGTTTCTGATATATCTTTTCTGTTTTTCCATGCAATCAAAACAAAATAACCCGTTATTTATGAGGTACTGGCAAGGTGCAACATTGGGAGAGACAAGTACAATTATATTTCATACTCAATACTAATTTGACAAGATTTCTTTTTTTATACTTATTATTAAAATTTAAAATAGATATGAAATTATTTTCAATATCTCACTGTAAACTCTAATTTTTATTGCTATAAATAATTACTTTTTTTTCTTTTTTTTTAGGGAACAAAAGTAAAAATATTTGAAAAAAAAGACTGTCTGTATGGACAATTGAAGTCCTGCATACAAATGAGTACCTATTATCAGAATGCAATTGGTTTACTTCAAGCGTGTATCTTTTCTGAACAAGGTATTTCAAGAAGTACATCACATGTGTAAGTTGCTTTTTTACCTTTTGGATTTTTCAATAATTCTTTTGTTCAAATCCTAACTTTTTTTGTCAATTTAAAATTTTGACAACTATTCTTTTATTTCATTATTTTGTCTTCTGATGTTTCATTCTGTAATGGTTGTTCTAATAAATCATTAACGGACAGAATCGTAGACATTTCCTCATCATTTTGCTCTTCATATTCACCCTGGGTCCTTATTTGATCTGCATGGGCTAATACACTGTTGCCGTTCTAATACACTGTTGCCGTTTTCTCTATTTATTATAGCTGTATTGTGGCCTTTTTGCATGATAAATTCTGCCCTTTCCGGATTTGCTTCTTTGTTCTTTTTGTACCACATTTTTTCATTTGTGGAATACGACATCGTTAGCGGAACTCTAATTTGTCTTCCCATTAAAGCTGATGGGCTTTCTAGTCTTCCAGCATGTGGTATTGTGCGATAGCTTAAAAGCAGCCTTGGTAGAAAAACTTCTACTTTTTGCTGAGAGCATGCATTTAGTCCCATTTTTATGGTCGGCACCATTCTTTCCGCTAACCCATCCGACTGAGGGTGATATGGGGGTGTCTTATATGGTTTACATCCTATTTTTTCTAACCATAAATTAAGATCTTCATCACAAAATTCTGGTGCATTGTCAGATACCAGGGTTTTTGGTATGCCGTTTCTGGAAAATATGACCCTTAGAATCTGTTTTATCATAGAACCTTTCTTGTCTGGCACCCGGATTATTTCAGGCCAGCCTAAAAAAGAGTCTACTAGAATTAATAAGAGTCCCACTCCATCAATATACGCATGATCCATATGCACCCGACTCCATGGCTCCACTTCTCTGGGCCGCGAATGTAAAGTAGTCCGTGTAAAGTTTCTTAATTCTTTACATTTTTTGCACCTATTTATGTATTCTTCGACATCTCTTGAATATCCTGGCCACCATGCTTCTAATTTTATCCTTTTTTGTGTGGCCGCTACTCCACAGTGTATATCATCATGTACACTTTTTATTACCTATTTTCTTTGTGTTTCTGGGGGAACTACCAGATCCCCATTACAAATCACTCCATGTTCTATCATTAATTTCTGTCTTATTTCTTTGTAGGGTCTTTCCACCCTAGAACAATTTCCCCATGAGTTTTTTCTTATTCTCGATATTATCCTACTTAGTACTGGATCATGTCTAGTTTCCGCAGCCATTCTATCTAAAGACATAACATCAGTCTCTACCCAATGTAAGAATGCATCTTCAAATTCTTCTTCTGTTTTATCTTTTTACTCCTTGTAAAATTGCAATCTTGATAGTGCATCAACGTGTGGAATTGAATTTCCTTTGACATATTCTATATCAAAGTCAAATGCCATTAATCTTATTGCCCATCTTAGTATCCTCGAAGTCGTGACTTTGGGTAATTCTTTCCTTGGGTTAAATATAAACTCTAATGGTCTATGATCACTTCTTAACAGAAATTTTTTGGTAACAAATCATATTTTCTAAAACCTGTTCGATGGCCCTTTGAAATATGGCGCTTGTGGTTTTTATTCCATATAGCATCCTTTTCCATCTTAGAAACCCTATTGGCATATTTATCGTGGTTACTACTTTGAAGTTATCGTCTACTACTTTGAAGTTATCGTATTTGGTGGTATGTCGTTTTTAAATCTATTTTTGTAAAAACGCTCATTCCTGCTAGTGCATGTAATGCAACTTCAACATTCGGTATAGGATATGAATCCGAACAAACTTTGTGATTTATGCCTATTTTGTAATCTTCACAAATATGTAAATCACCATCTGTCTTCCTCAAAACTATGATGGGTGATGCCCACTTGCTACCCCCAGGGGGAACATGTTCAAGAAGGTCTTGTTCTATTAATTTTCGTAGTTTTGTTACTACCA